ACATTAATAGATGTTATTTAGGGTCAGGTCCGACAAAGAGCAACGCCCGTCGAGGCTATTGGTAACATCATTAGAACTATTAGATGTGTCCACGTGGAGGCAAATGATTTCTGCGAGCTCCTTTACTGAATTTGACTGACGTGTAGTTAGTCTCATGAGCTATAGTTTCGTTATTAAGATCTAATTTAAGTAAGACTATGTAGCGGCGCTTTCGAAAATTTAGAATTCAGATGTTGGTAGAAACATTTATTAGAAAAATCAGTTGAATGCCGTTTTTTTCATAGCTTTGCTCTCAATAAATGAGCTTTGAAAGTAAATTAATTCACAACAACAGGGTTGCAAGGAGCCAGATGTGTAGGTGTCTGGGAATTTCCTTTATAGCGTTCTATAGCGAAAATAGTTTTGCGGCTGTCTATCTAGTCGCTGTGTTGTCCTAAACTTCCCACAGACAATGAGGAAAAGATAAAACTACTGTTCTGAGAAATAATTTATTTTTGCTATACTGAGTCTTTTTTCAGGGAATTTAGTCCAGCAACATTATCGAACTTTGAGGGTTTTTAAGTGAATAACCCTTTTCGTAGATCTTTTTTCATATTGTACGTGTGGACTAACTCCAACGTGCATGATATAAAACTTTCACGGGCGTGTCAATTTTTTTCAGTAAACGACATCAGCGAGCATCGGCTGTTTTGTCTCACACTTTGCTTTCAAATCAGATGATGAATATAAATTCTAAAGCCAGCGGTACCATAAGACCTTAAATGAACCCCAGAAGAAATTTAAGACTTAAAAGAACAGGAGAAGTTTCGTCGTTACCTTTATTTAAACTAATTAACCTAACTTTCCTATATTACTTAATAAAGTGCAAATTGCATCGGGCAGGGTAATTGTAAAAATCGAGCGCAAATGGCTATTACAAATCCAATGCTACCTTGAAAAATGCGCGCGTTAAGTGTGATATCAGAAACAATAGATTAAACAAGGCCTTTTTTTCTTGGGGTAATTTGGTATTATCAACTAAGTTAACGACGTAAATTGGCCTTCGTAAAGAGTTTAAAAGCTAACGTTTCGAGCGTTTACCCTTCGTCAGAGCGAATGGAGGAATTGTGGGTTGTGTGTTTGCTACAAAGCTTTGAAACTCCGAATGGTGGCTGATTATGTTATCAACTCAGTTGATAATACCAAATTAGCTTGTTCTCCTGGTTTTGACAAAGTCCAAGAATAAAGTAATCTAGTATTATCAACTGAGTTGATAAGGTAAATTGGCCACCGTAAGAATTCAGAAGCAGACGTTTCGAGCGTTAGCCCTTCGTCAATCACTCTGACGAAGGGCTTTTAATAAACTCTTTTCGGTGGCTAATTTACGTTACCAACTCAGTTGATAATACAAAATTATATGGTTATACCCTCCCACCGACGCAGCACCACTTTTTTTTTTTAGAAAGTTACCCCCTTTATCCAAGAATGAGGGATTTGAAGGGCCAGTAAATCCAGTGACCAACCACTTCGGATCATAATTCCTTCATGGGCATGGAAAGCCATCAATTGACTTTCGCAAAAAGTAGTAAAATTTCTGGGCAACTGATTTTATTATCCGTGCCGACATGAATTTAATCGAAAATCTGCTAGGTCTCACATTGCTATAATCTGTCTCGTTCAATCATTGATTTTTCTGAGTTTTCACTTTTTTTTTGCTAAATTTGGTACATCCTACACAGCAAACAGTAAGCTGTTCATTAACATTTTCCCCGCACGTTGCAAAAATATTTTCAACGTGCATATTTTCAGGTTATTGTCGAATGATATTCTAAGCAAATCAGCGAAGAGTATTTCTACCCTCTTTTCTGGAGGAACCCTCAAAAATACCACATAACCGAAAACTTCAGCGAAAGAGATTCAATTCCTCGTTCGAGTCGCTCACACAAGGCACTCAGTGTCTGACCTCTTTCCGAACACAACGTTCGTCAACGTTCTACGACTTCGCGCGGTTTGCAAGAACAGATTCACTTAGGCACGAAAATCAAACACGAATGACTGACTTTCTTTGATTTCTGGCTATGTCACTGAATAAAGGGGGTAATTTTTTAAAGAAACTGTGTTGCTGCGTCGGTGGGAGAGCATAACAGGGTAATTTAGTACTATCGACTGAATTGATAACGTAAATTGGCCACCATAAAGAGTTTCAAAGCTGACGTTTCGAGCGTCTGCTCTTCGCCAATCGCTCTAACGAAGGGCTGACGCTCGAAACGTCAGCTTGTAAACAGTTAACGGTGGCCAATTTACGTTATCGACTTCGTTGATAATACTAAATTACCCTGTTGTCACTGAATAGCCCGAGATATATGGTCATGGCCCAGATTAGGAATGGTTGATTGCTAAAGCAAGCTGAACGGCAAATTAGGAGGATAAAGAATATGAAAAATCTCAACTACTTAAATCTATTAATACTTTTGCTGTGGTTTATAATCGAGTGCAAGATACGCGCAGACGTTGTTAAACTTTGTCCGTTAATTAAACTGTTATCAATGTTATCAATGTTCCCTAAATTTTGATTATTTATGTGCGTGGCTCACCGCTTAGCACACATTTTTGTTTTGATTTGCGCCCATTGAACCGTTGTCTCCCTCACAGCCGTTTTCCTGTGTCGTCACTAAAGGTTATCCTTCCGTTTGTGGAGAGGAAGGCCTTGCGTGACGACAGAAAACGGAAGTGAAGGAGACTAATTAAACCATGGAGCGGGCGGTTTGAGTTTGATTGGTTTAGAATAGGATCTTTCTCCGATTCCGTAACTTTCTGTGTCTCTTTTATTAGTAGGCTACGCTTTGGATGTTAGTCAAATTCAAGTGAAATATTTTACTCGGTACAACTAAAGGTCGGATAAAGATTAACACTGATAAAAATAATATAAATAATAACAAAGTTAAAGCAACGTCGCAAAAACGGAGGAAACGGCCTCCACTGCTATGATTTGCATATTCGAAGACTTTAAAATGTTACATCTACTGATTGCAGCGTGAGACTAACAGATCCTAAGGGTGTTACACTGGTAAAATTCCTATCTAAGTTCTTTCTCAGACTTTCCTTTTCAGCAGGAAAAGCAAGCGTCTTGCGCCCGACATTACTGAAGTGCACACACTCCACCTTTTCATGTGAAAATTAATTTTTCATCCCAAAAACGATTTTTCTCACATTTAGGACCGTGACCTCCCGAACTTGTTTCCACCATGTTGTTGACATACCACGCCACGTGAAAGCAGTGCCGCGTTTTCCAAAACTGCTCAGAATTTTTATGAATCATCAACAATTATTCAACGAAGTGGAGGTAAATTGAAGTGGATATTTACCGAGCCGATACAGAAACCATCCAAAAAATCTATTTCTGTCAAAATATCGGAAAAAATGTCGGAAAGCAAACTCTTGACACAAGTTTGTTTTCAAAAGTGTGAATTTATTCGCCTAAAACGCATTGTTTCCAAGAGACCTTTTCAAAACAGCTCAAACAGGAGCACCTGCGGCTTTGTTTTTGAACTTGCCCACAGCTTTCTGAATGATTTCCTTGAATCCTGTGCGATAGTTTTCACTTTGAAGATAAAGAATCATAGGATTCATTGCTGAGTTGCAATGCAACAGAAATAAAGATATCTGATGAAACAAGCCCTTACTGGAAAAATAAAAAAAGAAATAAATTACTCTTGGAATAAAACAAACGATAAAGGCTAACGTTATGAGAAACAGCAGTTTTACAACCTTTCGCTTTTGCTGTAGCTCTGCGCTGACGCAAACTTTGCGACTTCCGAAGTAAAATCCTTTGATTATTCGCCAATAACAGAAACATATCACTGCCACAGCTAACGCAACTCCGAAGCCGAAAACTGCAAAGTAGTTACGCCTGCCGTGAATTCCAAAGTTATATTTGCACGTTCTCTCCTGTTTGTCGAAAACAGTGGAAACGAATAGAGGAACAGTTAGAGCCAAAGCGTATAACAGGATTCCACTGACCCAATATGTGATGTTATCCTTGTTCAAACGGAGCCTGTTTTTCATGGGTTTCAAAAGTGCAAGGTATCGCTCAATAGCTAACAAGACGAGGGTGGTGATGGAAACAGCAATGGTTAAGCTTGCCACATTTGGTCTAACGAAAATACAGCAAAATATGGCGCCAAGAAGGCCTCCTGGAGGT